GATACCAGGGAAAAATTTGTCATGTAGGCGAAAGAAGGAGCACAGATTCCTTTAGGATAAAGTCACTCCAAGACTCCTGCAGGCCCTTTTCAATTCCTTTGCTCCTTGTAGGGTTGACACGGCAAGATAGATACGGCTTGGCCAAAGCTTCTGACTCCCTTCGCAAGGCTTTCTGCATGCAACTTCTCAGCAACTGTCCCATCTGGATCAATCAAAACTAGTTTTTGCTTAATTCAATTCCAGGAAGAGGTTTCCACAACTCAAGTATAATTCTACTATCTGAATATACACAAAAACTTGATACTGTATACATTTTCTTAAAAAAATTCCTTGGCAGTGGCTCAGAGTGTAAATAAACTATTTACTGAGAATTTTTCAACGTGTCTTTGCCAGTTTTCTGGAACCCTTTCTACTTGTCTGCTGAACGTAGGCAATGACATTGGCAGTGTGAATGATTTTCTAAACATGCATCACTCATTCCAGAAATAAGGGTTACGTTCAAGAAATGGAATTATTACTAGGCTTACAGCTATAGATCGATTCATTTTTCCCCATGCTCTTCAAGGTCAAATGCTGAGCTTAAAAGTTTGCTCTCTAAGGTACTGGGATTTTTATTTGCAGTTCGTTAATAGATATTAACAATATATATTCCTTGTAGAAGGAAATTTAAAATGAATTCAGGTATTTGAAATAGCTTTACTTGACTTTCAAATACCTGAAAGGAGCAAAGGAATTGAAAAGGGCCTGCAGGAGTCTTGGAGTGACTTTATCCTAAAGGAATCTGGGCTCCTTCTTTCGCCTACATGACAAATTTTTCCCTTGACTTTCAAATACCTGAAAGTCAAGTAAAGCTATTTCAAATACCTGTACTCATTTTAATTTTCTTTAAAATGGGATGGAAGAGATTATGCTCTCCACTGAAGACTTGAGAAACTTAATTCCTATGCTGCAACTTCTTTTTCCATCAGACACAGGGATGCATCAATGACTTGTGTCATGCTACAGTCTAATCACAGGGCACACTGAGATTAAAGTTAATTGAGGCATCCCATAAACATGTCACAAATGTAATCCAAAAGGTTAAAAAAGTGATGTAAACTATTAAAAGGTTTTAAAAGTTTAATAGATTCGAAGTTTAAAAACCCTGGAATATTTAAAATTGTGTAGTAGATAACATCACATTTTAAAGAACGCTTCTTTATAATTATCTTCATAAAATCTTAATTGGGTATCTTCAAATTTGCTGTTTAAAAACAAAGTAGGCAGCAGCAGAAGTACATGCTATGTAAAGATACATCTATTTCTAAATGGAGGTCCAGGTGGCTACCTGTCTAATATGAATAGAATTTAACTCTTTGGCTAGCTTTGGGGAATCTGAAAACCTTTACTAATGAAGTCAGTAGGATGGTCTTGGCTAATCTGTCTGTCCAAATACTCACTGAATTCAGGAATAAAAAGATCATTTTCCCTAAGAACAGATTTGAATAAGAGATAAAAGTGGCTTAAAATTCCCACTTAAGTGAAATCTGATAGAAGAGTAATAAAATCTAAACCTAAGATCTGAAAGACTAATACACACACTCAAATCAAGGCTAATATACTGATAGAAGGAAAAAAAAAACACTAAACCAAATCAGCCATTTAAAAATGCTACCAATCCTTTCATGACTGAAGTACCAACAAATGGGCTCTATTGTAAGATTTTGGTAATGCTAGTTACACAATTCTGGCATACTGCAAGGCCATCAAATCTGTCAAAGTCAACTCAAGGACCAGCTGAGCTAGGGACAGCTCTGAGTTTTAGCAGCATTGATGTCAAGCCATATGATAAACAAGAAGGTGGTCAGGTGAAGGCACTATGCTTAGTATTTGAAAATCAAATAAATAATTTCAATTTTCTGTTATTAAGCAAAAATGTAAGCAAAAAGAAAACAAAAGAAAGTAATAGAGGAAGGGAGGAAGGAGGAAGGAAGGGAGGAAGGGAGGGGGGAGGGAGGAAGGAAGGTAGGGAGGGAAGAAGGAAGGGGGGAGGGAGGAAGGGAGAGGGGGAGGGAGGAAGGAAGAGAGGGAGGGAGGAAGGGAGAGGGAAGGGAGGAAGGAAGGGAGGGAGGGAGAGGGAAGGGAGGAAGGAAGGGAGGGAGGGAGGGGGAAGGGAGGAAGGAAGGGAGGGAGGGAGAGGGAAGGGAGGAAGGA